GAATACGAAGTTGATTGGGACCTACGAGACAGATTTTTCGGTGTTGAAAAACTTTTTACTACATGTCTACATTATATGGTCAGTGGCATAAGCGAAGCGATCCTTAAAGATCTAACTCTTTATATCAAGGAAGAAAAAGGTAATATTTACTGAGTGATAAACAATATTAGAGGAATTTCAATTTGGCGAACTGAAGCCAACAAATTATTGAGATATTTATTAATTTCATTCAACATTATGCTAGTTCATGAAAATAGGTAATGACATTCAAAGTACATTAAGACGTGAGCATTTGAAAAAATGTTTTCAAAATTAAATCATATATGCATAAGAGAAAAAAAAACCAAAAGTTCAAATAATTATTATGCTTTCTGAATGTTAAGCCTAGGTGTATGTATGTACATATGTATACTGCATGACACACACATATGTATTTACATGTATTCAGCAAGCTTGTTTGCAAGTTGTTGTTAAATATTGGACTTAAATACATACATACATACATGTATTTTTACGTATTTACATATGTACACGTATGTATGCATATATCAATATGTAAAATAAATGGTATTGTTTGTACATACATATGTACATATGTTAGTAATGCTTACATATATTACACCTAAATTCGTCTAATGCGTCCTACATTCGTTAACTGTGAAATTATATAAATATCCTTCCATTACGCGAACTTTACACATGTACATATACATACATATGTATATTCTTAAGTCTATATGGATGTATGCATGTATTTTTGTTAATATTGAATTACTCAAATTTGCATTGTAATGTTTTTTCCAGATGTAAATATGTATGTTCATACATAAATACATAAGTATGTATTTAGGCACAAATATTGTTTGTGCTTTTAGGTTCGTACATACTCATACATACATATGTATTTATAGACATACATACATACATTTACATAGTATGTACATACATATGTATGTATGTACGTTTTTAGGGACTCCAATGCATTTTATACTTATTGAGCACTCAATATAATCTTAATTGTTTATATGTATGTATGCACATATACATATATGTACATTACATATATGAATATAAACAGATATATAAACATAAGCCATAACTACTAATTTTCCAAACATTTAATATTTTTATCCTTATTTATGCTCACTCAAAGCCATATGCAATGTATAAACATATGTAAGTACATAATTTAAAACACAGACACAGTCTAACAAACATTTAACATTTATATCCTTATTTTATGCACACTCAAAGCCATATGTATGCAATGTACATATGTATGTATGTACATAATTTAAAGCACAGACACAATCTAACAATTATACACATTTTTCTATATAAACAGATACATATGTATGCACATACATACTTTATTATAAGCCGAAAACACAAACACTGGTTCTCAGTAATATTTAGTGGAAGACCTTTACCCAGTGACAAGCAACCCGGGACTAAACCTGTTTCCAAATGTTGTGTCAAGAATTGTAGCCAACTTTCTGCTCTTGCGAAGTAGTTGAAGGATTTTTTGCCGACATTCGGGAAATTCTGTAAATACACCGAACAAAATAATTATATATTTCGATGTAAAATATTTATAGTATATGTATGTATTTAAAAGCTTATAATAAAAAAAAAAATAAAATAAAATCTCTTGTCTTAACTATGACTATGCGGAAGTATAAACGAAGCTCCATTGACTATAATTGGATGTACATAGTATGTACATACATATGTACGTACATACATCATTTGTTCATATGTATGTACTTGTATCTTCTTAAATGTTTTTATTTTCATATACATACATATGTATGTATGTACATATACATGTGCATTCATATATAATGCAAAAATTTACAAAATATTTACAAGACGAACAAATATGTAAGCACTGGCACTTCAATAATTTTTCACCTTTTGTTCAGTGTAGGAATGTATACTAACCAGTAAGGGTGGATTTAAATCGAATACATTAAATAAAACAAGTAAGCGTGCTCTAGTTGAGACTGCTCGACTAGGAGATATCCTGAATCCTCCAAGCTGCACACACTTACGCATAAGCACTCGCTTTGCTAACTGAGAACTGGCTAGTGCTGGTTAGTGCTGAGAAGTAAGCAGTGACCGCGATTGGGCTGCGCTGCAGTGTGCGCAATATTATGAAAATTTATAAGTTGAATAATTTCTCATGTAAACGAACAAACTTTCAGAACGTAATGATAAGGTTTAAATATGTGTACATATATTCCGAAGCACAAGTCTCTAGTAGTTGAAATACGCTTTTTTCAACTTTTCGGCGATTATTATCGGATGAGAGATTGAAAAAAATATGATAACCTTGTACTGCGTATGGTATGCAGGCAAAATTTAAACTCTCTAGCTCTTATAACATCTAAGATCGACGCACACATACAGAGAGACGGACAGGGCTATATCGACTCATCCCGACGTCGTCGCTGATCAAGTAATATATATATATATATATATATATATGTATGTATGTATGTATACATATATATATATATGTATGTATGTATATACTTTATGGGGTCTGTGATGATTCCTTATGCCCGTTACTTTTCACAATTATACCCTGATTTCCCATTTTCAGTGAGCTCAGGGTATAAAAATAATAAAAGCAACAACGAACTTATAGGTACATACATACATATGTATGTATATACAAAAAGTAATGTAAATGTAAGTAAAGCATTTAATGATAGAAAGTCAAATCAGGTTCATTTCTAAACACAGTTTAGATTATTTTTTATTTTAAAACTAAAATTAAACTATAGGCCCGTTGGTGGGATATTTTCTCTTAAGAAGAGAAATATGCATACTCTTTACAAAAAGAGATAGTATCCAGGGCTGCTATAAGCTTATTGGAGTACATTGCAGAATCGGTTATGTTTAAAAAGCAATAGTAACACAACCCAGACAATAGAGACTAGACATGTAGGACACATTTTTTCCATGATGGAAAATCTGTTTCGTAGGTACCAACCAACTTCGCATGCCGGACTACGAAAATGTACGAAAGCACAATCACTTCGCTTCATGCACACGACCGAGATGGTCAAATGTTGAACAAAAGATCCATCTATGTTCAATTTTTTCTTGCTCCCTTTCTCAATCTCTCTCTCTCTCTGCTCTCTCAAGTTGAGGGACCTCTATACTTCGTATTTGCTCGGCCCGGTTGCTGGAAGCTCGAGTAGTGAAAATACTGCACGATAAAATCAGTGGAAGTGTATACCGGATTCTTAAGAGCGTTTGCCACGTTTATACAACAAAATATTAAATATGTATTATTAAATTTCGATGATTTTTTTGTGATTTCGCTACGGGCGTGCATACGCACACTTGCATTCCCTTGCGACTCATATGAGCGATTGTTGGTTTGGTCAGTCAGTGGCTGAAGCTTGAAATTAAATCAACAATACATAATACAAATCATGTTCTTTTTCTATGTCTGTTTTAACGTATAAACGCATATTCATTTGCCTATCGATTTTAAAGATGTACTTACATACACATATATCGATATTAGTTAATTTATTTATTTGTTATTTCTAGCATTTTTATTCAATGTTAATTATTGTAGTAGCTGAATTAGATGGAAACTAATTTAAAATATTTTAAATACGCGCTCGCTAATCGACAGATAGAGCTAACCAAGTCTGGAATTATATCTTTATCCGATAATGGTGAAAGTAAACCCTCTACGTATCTCGAGAAACAAATGGTCTTCCCTGGATCATTATTAAATATTATTGGAACTTCTGATGGTAAAGAAAGTGACGAATGTATTGTTCAAATTTTAAACTTCGATGCTGTTACAAATAACCAATTTTACGAAATCAAAACAAGCTTCTTGGTTAAAGTAGCTGAGGAAATTTGGCCATTTGTTATTAGCATTGACAGTCTGGAAAGTCGATTACGTTTAGTTAACAATAACGAACAATGTATTTGGTTAATTAACTTAAAAGTTAATGACGTTGTGTGTGTGCGTGGAGAATTGTTTAAAAATGGAAACGCGAATTTTGATTGTATTATCCGTTACATTGGTCCAGTGCAAGAACTAAATTCTGTAGGATATTATTTTGGATTGGAAATTTTGGTTTGTTACTAATATTAATCAATTCTTTATTGATATATATAAATTATGTATATATTTTAGCATCTAAATAACGGCTACTCACCTCAAGCCAAGGAAATTCAGTTCGCTACAAGGTACATGCAGTGTGAACCTAACTTAGCAATATTTACGACTGCTAATTGGATAGCTCCTGTATCAAGTGAATCAAAACATAAACTATCTGCCAGACAATTGATCAACGAAACTATTGATCGTGTGTACACAGCTATTGTGCCATCAACATTAAATGGACAGCGAAGTGATCACAAGTCCAAGAAACGACAGCCTACAGCTTATTTTTATGATTCATTGATAGAAACAGACGCTAATCGAAACACAGATAAATACGATTCCGAAATCATGACTGAGTCTATCAAAGGAGATGATTCCACATCTTTAAAAGGGATAAATAAATATAATAAGGATAAATTATATTCAACTAACATTCCTTTACCTATAGAACGTAGAGGATCAAGTCTAGTTAGTTGTCACAAAAACGAAAATAATATTTTTAACATAACCGAATCAAATATTAATGAAAGCGATATGAATGATGTAACTAAAAGTGACATTGAAGAGTCCCTTCGGAATGAGAATAATATAAACATTGTTAGTAATCGTCTGGAAAAAGAAAATGTCGACTTAGCCGATTTGCTCGGTACCAATTGGCCGACAAATGCCGGAGAAGCTGGTTTGATTCTAAACAGAGCTAAATTAGGTGCAAAACCATACGACAATAAATTGGACAGGTCTCCATCTAGTTCCACTTTTGCCAAGAACAGAAATAGAGTTTCGCAAGTACCTAGTTCATCTATAGAAGTCAATTCTAACACTGGTAAGATATTATCGATCCACTTTGTCACTGTAAATGTATATATGTATATCTATATTTTTATACAAATCTAAGATATCTGTGATATTTTACAGCATATCAATATTGATTAGTATGAAACAAAGAACCACTTAAATGCAATTTTCATAAGATTTTCTTTAAAAAAATCAGCCTCTTGAAAATAACTCATTACCGATTAAATGAAATGTGTGAGGACTTAGAGCCTTTACAAACTAGTACATTTCAATTTCAAATCTGCTGAGAAATAATCACAGATCACCGTTGACATTTTACACATACTTAAAGAGAGATTTTACGATACGATTGCTCTGAAAAATTTGTTTTATTTTTTTCTCTTGCGTATTTATAGAGTTTTATCATATACATGAACATGTTCTGTTCATGATTCTTTATAAATAGAAAGTTTGACATTTAAAAGTAGTAAATGGAAAGTTGAAATGAGTTTTGCACTAAAAAGTCAGAAATAATACAATTTATACAGGTACATATACATATATTTTTAGTATAGGTTATTTTTTAGCAAATACAGCAAATACAGTTCTATTCTTATACTTTTACTCACTCACACTTACAAAACTAAAAATAAATTTTGTTGAGTCGTATGTAAATTGTATTTATTTTTCATTAACAGTTCCATTAAATAGGAGAACGATCAAGTGAAATTTACACGATAATTTTGTATTTCAACAAGTTAGTTCGCATATTAAATAAATAAATAAAATATGCATAATATTCCCTTGACTGTTCTGGAGTTCAGTGTGTCTCACAATGAAAACTGTTTGGAAGGTATATTAAAATATATTTTTTGAATTGCTCAACATCTTGAATGAACGTCGCTGCATTCGCAATTTTAATATAAATAAAATTTGGGCGAGTGTGATAGAATCTTTATATGACCAATCTTAAATATTTCTAATATTGCGTTAAATAATATCGTATTGTCACATTTTAAGATAGGGAAATTATAAGAATTTGTAAGTTGCTCAATTCTTTAGGATAATTTTATAATTTGGCCACTGAAGATTATTCGAAATATTATGCAGCTAATGATTGATGTTGCAGACAGTATAAGCAGCGTAGCATAGCAATTGCTAAAAAGCTCAGATGGGAATGAATCTTTTTGTTAAAATATAGTTAATTTAATTAACATAGTTAATTTGAATAATAATTTGAAAAAATCGTAAAATGCATTTTCCGATATGCCAGATATCATATTAGTTGAAGAGCTAGAAAGCTGAAATTCGGTATGTAGATCCGCTTCGGATACGCAAGATCACCAAGTTCTGCACACGAGCTAAAGTTTCGATTCTTTGAAGAAGGGTGGAAAAATTATATCTCTACGCCTACTAGAAGCGTGGCAAATCGGACCCTTCAAATACTGATATATTGTAGACACTATTGATGCTAGAGAATGAAATTTGGTACATATATATACGCAGTTTGGCCTCCCAAGTCCAACGAGCTATGATGGATTTATCTAGAATCTACAAATTTTGATAGTTAAGTTACCTGTAGGGGCGTGGAAGGTCGAGAAAGCCTGAATTTTCTACAGTACTAGCGCAAAACTTAGCTACTAAATTTGCTGATGGGTTGTGAATGAGTGTTCCGCAGTCGGTAACGCCCGACTGCAACGTTCTTATTTGTTATACCCTGAACCCATTGAAACTTTATGCAAACGATCTTCACATTGTTTTGCTTTGTAGATTAAAAGAAATCTTTTTTTTTTTT